GCACGCTCGCGCCCCGCGTGAAATTCACAGGGCTAAGCTGACCCCTTAATAAATCACGAGCAGCGAAAATAATACGACTCCTTAATGTGGCTTAGCATGGATTCAGTCAAGTTGATGCTCAGTGAATACATGTACTAGTAGGAGGGCAGTCCTTAGTGTGATGGATACCAGCTGCAGGCCGCCGCTGTTATTCTTTTTCTTTTCTCCCTTCTCAGTTCTGCACGCTGCACTGTACCGACCCCTTTTACCGGGCGCCCTGAATAATTTGATACTACATGTGTTTCTCCATAATGCACCTCTAATGCAGGACCGCCAATCCAACCCTGCCCCCACCACCCTTTGCCCACTCTTTACTCCTCCCTAAGGCAACCTCCCCAGGCAAGGCATCAGCCCCACATGCCAGGGAGGAGATCATGGGCCAGATTTAGCCCACGCTCGTGCGACCGATGGGGCCGTGATTATTTATCCAGGGAACCAAAGCCCACACAAGCCCCGAGCTGTTTTGGAAACTCGCTTCCTGATATTATGCTTCTTGGCCTTTTCATGTGCCTGCGCTTCTCAGATCTGAGGAAATATTTCTGACTCGGGTTATAGCAGCAGAGGTTTTGTTGTTGGATGTCTGAGCGACACTCGACTCTGGCCGAATAAGGATGGGCACGCTCGTGTTTGTTTCTTTTGCAGGCTGGCCGTTGGCTCTGCCGCCGTGCTATCCGCATTACAAGAAGCAATTGGCGTGACGCTTACATTGAATGTCGCCGGATTATTTTCACAAATAGGCTTTAGTTATTTGAAGCTTCCACTCGAGGTGCACCATGAGCAAGATCTCTCGTCGCCGCGTGTAGCCAGATCGCCTTGATGGGAACGGAGTAGTTAATGGAGTCAACGTCGAGTCAGGGTGCTCTCCCTGCAGAAATCGCCAGCGCAGAGCGGTGCTCAGCTCCATTGGTGGCCTTGAGTCAGAGGTGGAAATTTCACATTCCCACGGCAGAGCTCAGTCTGTTTATTATATAACCACAATTGACTTCCCACAAAGTAGTGCTTATTTTATTGATCATGAAAGGGATTATAGGCCTCCAAAAGGAACTTGACTCACAAGCTTTTGATTGTGAGTCAGGCATTCTGACCACAGTGACACCTGGTCAGGCTAAATGTTTTGACGTGGAATTGAAATGCATTTGTTGTAATCATTTAACCGCGTGCATTATAATGCATTTGTAGCCCTCAAGGTATAAGGTCTGCGAGAACACGTCATTGTCTTTTAGCATTCTGACAGCAGTCAAATGGAATTGCATTTGTCAGTGGATATTCATTATATAAGTTTCACATATATACGCGTTTTTATTGAAATACTTTCCAAGATCTGCCTTGTTCGGGAGTTTTTACTTATTGTATTACTACAAAAAAAAGAACGCTTTCAGTTGACAAATTGTGCATGCAATTCTGTATATACAAGCACAAGAAACATGTATGAGCCACTTCCAAGCAACTTTGAATTAATTTTAAAATGCAGCATAGGCTTCATCTATGAATACATCATAATTGCTGGTAAAGTTAATTTCTTTCATGGAATCAGTTTAGGCTCATTATTTGTCCATAATATCTGTGTTTGTCTATTTAGCGTATGTAGGTTTCTTATGTAGCTTGCAAGGATGATCATATTCATACATTTTCTTCCGCGGATTGATTTCCATGTTTTCACTTCAGGCAAAATGCCTATATCTGTCAAACAGGCACACCAGTCGTCTACTCATGTGAATTAAGTCGCATGATCGTTCATATCAATTTGATACGTTACTGATTCTGTCTTGCAATTACTGGTGACTTCACAAACTGGATTTCACAATTATTGGCGTAAAAATAATAATGTGCATAAGCTTCGCCGATTTCTTGTAGCAATTGTGTATTTGTGTGAAGTTTAAGATGCATGGGCAGAAATTAATGAGAATCGTGCAATTGTTCATTGAGTAGGAAAGAAAGTGAATGCCTGAGATATGACTGTGTATAGCTAAGTCATGGAAATACATTATGGTTTAAATACCACGTGACATCATTCATAAGATTTGAAGCTTTCGTGACTGCAAGGATTCATAGTCACGTAGGTAAAAAATTTAAATTAATAAAAGTAAAATAAAAATAAAATATTTATTTTACTTTTATTCTACTTTTATTAAAATTAAAATTAATAAAAGTAAAATAAAAATAAAATATTTATTTTACTTTTATTAATTTAAATTTTTTTACCTACGCGACTTTACCGAAAAAACCTAAGAATATCATTCATAAGAGTTGGCCATTCTATGGATGGCTCAGGGTCAGAGCACCGACATTAATACGTGTTTCAAACTGGGTTCTTAAATATAGTAAGTTAATGCTCCACTAACCCATTAATACATACCAAAATATTGTATTCACATTGAGTGTTTCACTTGAAAAATGTAAGCCAAGGAACCTCAACCAATCAATCAAATGTGTCTGAGAGGATGTCTACCTAGCAGAAGGAGTTATGAAATCAGTTTGAGTGCGGCTGCTAGGTGGATTATTATCTTAGGATAGTGAGTATGGTAGTGGCAGCGGCGTGGGAAGCCCTTTATTTAGCAGCGTCTTCAGCCACATTTTCTTGGTTCTTTCGGTAAAGTCACGTAGAAGGGAAATAATAAAATAATAAAAATAAACATAATAAAATAATTCTCACGACGTTTCAGCCACAACGCAAGCAGCCGTCCTCACGACGTTTTGGCGTTGTGGCCGGAACGTCGTGAGAATTATTTTATTATGTTTTATTTTTATTATTTTATTACTTCCCTTCTACGTGACTTTACCGAAAGAACCAAGAAGATGAATCCCTGCAGTCACGAAAGCTTTAAATCGAAATTCAGCCACATTGTCACCGTGATGATGACGGTGACGATGTGGCTGAATTCGTGTTCTAAGAATGCTCACGTTGGTTTGTTTCATTGTCATGCAACAACCACCAATCTCAAAGTGTGCCCCCGATTTGTATGAAAATCAAAATGGTCAGGGTTTTTCAAAGGAAGTTCTGTCAGAATCTCTTTCACAGCTCTTCTCAGACACAAGGACTCACACTGCTCCGTGAGATTGCCCAATAGCTGCTTTGTCTCATGACATAACATAACAGTGCACTGGGAGTAGAATTGTAAAAAAATATAAATAAATTTCATAGAACATTGTGTGCTGAAATGGTAGACTTTATCTACAGCTGAATTTTACATCTTACCGATGTCCTTTCAGAAGTCTCAACTGAAACACATATAATGAATCACAATAGTCAAATAAAGGAAAACAAAGTTAATTGAATTGACAAGCACGGGTGAATTGTCAACACCCAAGGTGCAAATACACGTGTGAATTTGTGGCTGCAAAACAAAACATGTTTTTTTCCACATAAAATTCTTCAGGTTGTCACCACCTCTCCTCTAAGTCAAATCAACACCACTCTTTTGCACCATAAATCACTACGAATTTCTACTTGGTAGCTGTTTATTACATGACAGCACAGCATAGCTGGTTATGTCAGTCCAAAAATGATGCTTCAATACATCTCATACCACTGCATGTCATCTCATCACTTGGCAATAATGATAATCTACTTTGAGACAACAAGGCACAGACCTGTGTGGGTTAGTGGACAGCTACCATTTCCACAACAATGCGATGATTTGTTTTGGCAGTTTTGGTTAGCACCACAATGCGGTCAAGCTGACTTCATGTTTATGTTCACGTCCTTAAGCCGCAGCTGACACCTGATGAAGAGTGATTTGATTGTGATCCAATGGGAAGCAATGCATACTTCATTCAAATCGTTTTCACCTGCAGTGTCACCGCCTTCACCGACCTGCACTTACAAGCGTGGTTAAGTATGACGTTTCGGCCACAACGCAAGCAGCCGTCCTCAGATGAAGAATGAAACACCACCAAGCTTGGAGCGTATATTTAAGATGGGTTGGAGGGGGAAGAAGAGCGCCTTGACAAAATAATTTGCACATCAAGAGGAATTTAGCATATTTATGGGAAATGCGTAGGAGTGTTGTTTCATTCTTCACCTGATGACGGCTGCTTGCGTTGTGGCCGAAACGTCGTGAGAATTATTTTATTATTTTTATTTTTTTATTTTATTATTTCCCTTCTACGTGACTTTACCGAAAGAACCAAGAAGATGAATCCCCGCAGTCACGAAAGCTTTAAATCGAAATTTATGGTTAAGTATGGTCAAATAACCCCTACAACCCGCACAGGCGGGGAGAGCCCTCTATCCGGCATTGGGGTTTATCAACGGGCTGTACATGCACATGCAAGCAATGTCCTCATCATCATTCTCATTGCACAACCACTGTTGGTTGGCAGGTGCGAGATGATGATGATGCAGGAAAAATAAGTCAAAAGTCTAACTGTATTCCTGTTCAAATGAGCATGGGAGGATGCTCACATGAGCCAGTGATACAGATTCCACGTTTCTATGGCAGTGGTCGCTCGGACAACTATTTACCTACAAATTGGTACTTATTTTATTGACGTACGAGGGATGATAGGCTGAGTACGTTCCTGACCAAGATTTGCATATAGTGTTCTAACTGCCGGGTCCACCTGGATGGGTTTAAATAGTTTTCCAGCATATTGGTGGCAGGGGTATGCCACTGTGTGATACCCACGTAAGGGGCTATGAGATATATGTAGGAGGAGTGATATAGAGTAGATTTTAAACTATCTGTGCATCGATTTCCAGGCACTCTGTTTCCTCCTATGAATAAACATTACACATTTTTTTTTACAAACATCTCGTGCATGACACTAATACGATAGAATGTTGAGACTCAGAGAAAATGTTTACACTTAAAAAAGGCATAACTTCCACTTATACTGCACATGTATGTATGTTGAACTTATTTTGCACGTACGTAGCCTACCACGCTAATGGGAGCTGCGATAATTATCCGTTGCCTGTAACTGTCCGTTCCTAACTGCCGTGCGTGCCCTCGTTTCAGCCCAAGAGGATCGTTTGCCGGGACGAGGCTCGCCGGTGGTCGATGTGAACGAGCAGAAGATTGATCACGTGTACAAGTGGCTGCACACACAGGCAGGCGACCGTGGGATGACCAACGCACACTCCGCAAAAGGGTGCGCAAAGCCTTCGTCGCAGCAGCGTTGTTTTGAGCCCCAAACGTTTGCGCCCCCCCCCCCCCCGGATGCTGCCAATCCTCTCAAACAAGCGGGTTTCAGCGGAGCACGGGTAACACCTTCAAACATTCTCTCCGATCCCCCCGTAACGTTTGTGGGATATTGGATGTGTTGGAGAGGAAATTGTTTCCTGCGAGTCGTGCATTCCCATTAGGTGTTTTTAAAATTTCTTTCATCTCCAAAGCGTTGGAAAAACCAAAGTTAACTGTGTCAACAAATAACCACGTCTAGAACATATTTATGTACGTTTCTACAATTGATTGTTAGTGGTATGTGTTCAATTTTGTTGAGTATCAGATCTGATTCAATTTTTTCATTAAAATAAACAAACATTGGATCGGGTGATCCAACCGAGCATGCACACATCAGAATGTGAACCGATCAAGATGAGGTTTCATAATGTTTGGGTGATTGCACTGCGTCCATCTCTGCACGATTCACCAACTCCAATTACTTAATACATAATGCCCTTTATTTGTCCAAGAAAACTTACTGAGTCTCAACACTTTTTTTTCTAAGGAACGTCCCGAATTGAGATGAGGTTGGGATAATTACATTAATGAGTGTCTGGCATGTGGGTCATAACCAGGGTATTTAATGTGGAACACAGATTGATTCAAGAATCCATAGATATACTGCCATCTCTAAGCCACCTCGTCGAGCAAGCCTATAATACCTGGTATTCCTGGCAGTGTCCCATCCAAGAACTAACCAGCCTAAGGCCTGCATAACTTCTGAGTTCTGATCAGTAAGGAACATATTCTGCGTGATTTGGCACAGACCATAGTTATCATGGCCTACAGAGATGATAATGATGATGAGCAGAAGGAGGATGTTGGACTGTGTGCTTCATTGTGATCTATTCCAGAGGTGGCTGAGTTGGCTCATTAGACGAGTACCATGTTCGAGCACTGAACTCACACTGCTCATGCTGAATTTTGGTTCTCAATCTCGTGAGTTGATGGTCTCTGCCTCGGCTGTATATACAAAAAATCCGTTTCATTCAGTGTTCATAAGAGCAATTAATGACAACTGTCTGGCAGAGTGTGAAGTTGCACTGCTTGCGTTGAGATGTATTTGTCCCATGGCATGACTTCAATGGCACAATTGTACCGTTTGGGGAGCATTTTTGAACGTAATTGTTCTTCTATCATCATACACAACGTTATCGATTTGCACGTTTTTCCAGTTGCCTTGTGGTTTTACCTTAACCCGGGCAGTGCATTCGGGTACAGTTTTATGCTCAACTCAACTCCGCTGCTTCGTGTTGTTTCACAGGGAATCGCGTTTTTTGCCCGACATGGACCCGGACGTTCTGAGCGGCGGTCGTGTGCAGCTGGTGGTAAGCGGAGTCGGCGGTGAAGCGCCACCCGCCCCTTGAGCGGTGGCTAATTCCCCCGTCCCAATCCCGTCGCCTTCCCACCTCCGCAGGCTCCCCCTCTCCTTGCACTCTCGCGGACAAAACAAAGGCTAAAGACGCCACTTTAGGGCTTTTTGTCATCAATAAGGGGCGGTCGAAAAAATAAACAGCGGCGCAGGCATCATAAACAGAGTTGCGGGCAGTCGTGTTTGTTTTTGCGGCAAGCGGATTATACCCCTGTCAAACAATTCTCCTTATTCCTTTCAATGTTAATTGGTTGTCCGTTTCAATTTGTCGTGCAGCCCTGCACTAAATAGAATGGAGCTTGCACGAGCTGGCCAGCCGTGTGTGTATGTTGAACTTCTTTCACACCATACGTAGCCGACCATGCTAATCGCAAGTGTTGGGGAAGGACAACAAACTAAACATAAAAAGCAGTTCTAGAGAAATTGGTTTTCAATTTAGATTTAAAAGTGCATATCTCCAACGGCTTCCTAATATTCGAAGGCAGAGCGTTCCAGATGGTGCAGCAGCGCATATGAAAGCAGTGCGATGCAGTGACCATCTTTGTTCGATGGTTACCCAAAAGCCGCTGCGAGGATTAACAGATTTTGTGTGATGGTTTATGCTCCTTGACGAGATCAGCAAGGTATTGTGGTTTATTTGTGGCAAGCACTTTGGATACTCGGCGTGCAAAACGCATCCGTGGAAGGTTGGTGCGAGCGTGACGTTTTTGAACACGAGTCTCTCCCTGACTACTTGAGTTATTGTGTAATCCCGTGTTTGGTACTCTCAAACTAACAATCTGAACTGATCGATTTACGGTTGCTACAAATTATGAAAACTAAACTATCTCGCCTTGAACCAAATCACCTGGAATGCATCAGACCTTGGAAACTTAGCAGGGTTGTGACTGGGTAGCACTAGGATTGGTCACCTCCATGGGCAAAAGACGTGCAGTCGGCATTGTGGGCAGTAGAGGAAATTACAGCAATATCCATTGTTGTGCTTTAATATGCTCCAACTTCAAAGTTGTCTTCCTTCACCAACCAGGGATGGACCGGCATGGTAAAATGTGGCAAAATGACCCTCACTGACTGCAAGGCATGGGGAGGACGTCATCCAGCAGTGGATTGACCCAATGTGCTGTACATGTGCTATGATTGTCGGTGTTGTCCTGTAATTTGTATTGGCTGCTGCTGCTCCCTTCACATTGGCGCAAGCTGCTAATGTGATAACTTCACCCCCCCCCCCCCCCTTGGGATTTATTTCAAAAATGTAAAAATGTTTGGATTTATTTTAAACATGTAAATATAAAGTAATCGTGTAAATGCCAGATACCCGTTAAGTTGCTTCCATCTGATCACACATGTTTACCAGCACGTGCTGTCGGTAATGCATTACAGCACTTGTAATACTTGACTCCCCCACGCTTGTTCTCAGCATCATGGAGATGGTCTGGTGCTGTTACGTAAACACTTTTCCTCGCCCACGTCAGAATACCGAGCCACAACTGCACTTGGATGCCAATATCACCATTGAGATGCAACTTCCAAGTCAAGTGGCAGTACAAATAATAACATAGTTGTAAAGCAAGAAGGTGTGTAGCCAAACCTCAGATCATCTGACTATTTTGCAGTAATAAAGCAACGGCTGTTGTTGGGAAACTCAGATCATTTAGAGTAAACAACGCCAAAGTTTGCAATAGAACGTGGCAAGGAAGCATGGTAGTTGTGTTCCAGAAGAGGAAGCTACAATGATGAGTATGTGCCAAATGGAAGAGGGCAGACTACCGAGACTGTGGCATCTAGAGGTAGGCAAGCGAGGGGAAGGCATGGTTGGTTTAGAGTTTTAAATCTAGATTTAAAACTCATTTCTTTAGAACTGCTATTTGTGTTTAGTTTGTTGTCCTTCCCCTGCACCTTCTTTTAGCATGGTTGGCTATGTACGGTGCGAAAGAAGTTCGACATACACACATACAGCGGACCTTGGGAGCCAGGCATGAACTCTTCAGCAATTCCGGGATCCAGTATAAGGAAGTAGTGACGAGGCATGCCGGCATCAGCAGCATTGTACGCGTTGACTTCTCAGCCTCAAGCTTAAATTTAGATTTAAAGCTTTCGTGACTGCAGGGATTCATATTCTTGGATCTTTCGGTAAAGTCACGTAGAAGGGAAATAATAAAATAATATAAATGAAACATAATAAAATAAAATTTTCACGACGTTTCGGCCACAACGCAAGCAGCCATCCTCAGGTGAAGAAACAGAGCTGTCGGAAAGACAACGTCTTTTATTTTATAATGTGTTATTTTTATTATTTTATTATTTCCCTTTTATGTGACTTTACCGAAAGAACCAAGAATATGGTCTCAAGCTTGTTGGACTGCGCTTGACATATTGTGGGTAAGATTCACTGTGTTGGCTCTGTGTCTCTCTGTGTGTCTCTCTGTGTGTCCACCTGTGGCACAGGCCAGCCCCATTGGCCGTGAAGACAGGGACATGGAGCTCCTGTCGGTGACGGGCAGCGGCAGCACCAGCAAAGCGTACGGGGCCCTCTCTGCTCACAGCCACTCGCAGTCCCGCGCCGGCCGGACGCGGGGCTTCCGCCAAAGCAGCTTCTCCACGCGACGCAACCTCTCGGCCGACACCACACGTAGGTGTAGTCACCACTGTTAGAGAGCGTGTGAGTGGCTGTGTGGGTGTGTGGGTGAGTGGGTGAGTGTGTGCGTGTGCTGTGGGGAGCGGTAGTGTAGCGGTTAGCACCTATTAAGGTTGGGCACAGTACATAACATGGTCCTGTGGCAAAGATAGCAGGCACAGCCAGCTGCATTTTTATCCCCACCGTGGGGTGATGGTCATCGCACACCGACCGAGTACTTATTTCACAGCTGAGTCCAACTCGCGCAGGCCCAGACCACATTCAGAAACCAATGCCCCCTAATATTTTCCTCTTTTTCTTTTTTTTCCTGATGACGAACGCTTGTTTTGCGATCGAAACGTCGTAGTTTTTTTCACGATGTCTTGTTACTTTCTTTAAACCTATCTACCTGACTTTACCTAAATAATTTCTTCACGTGTGAAAGTTGATTCTTTGCATTCCCCATACAAACCAGCTGTTTTCTCAAGTAAGACAAATAACTATACTTTCTCTTGCTTGTCTTTTTCCTTTTTTACCTCGATTACAGCAAGGGGCTCCGATAGTTTCAAATATTTTTCCCGGTTGCCTGCATATATTGTGTACGCTGGCTATGGTTTTGTCTGTAAATGTTGTTGCAGGAATTCCAAATAAAATTATCAATTCAAAACATTCAACCAAAAAAAAAATCAAATGTACTTGTTTTCCCTGAAATCAACTGCAATATACCCATAATGTGTATACTACATCACAACAATGCCAAGGTGACATACTTGATACTTTAAGCGAGTCAAACATGAAGGCATTAGGTTAGTTTATGCCTCACATGCCTCAAGTATTAATTGCCATGATCAGGGTGGTTGTACTGTTGATTCGCAAGTGTTTCACTTTAATTGAATGATTGGCGGCTTAAATTACAATTTGCGAGGAGCGGTAGATATTGACTGCGTAATTCTGCTGCACACACGAACTCAGTACGGTATCTGATACCCCTGCCTCGAGCAAGAATAGCAACTAAGAAGCGGGATTTGTTTGTTAATGTGAGCGCCGATTAATGGTGGCACGGCGCACGAGTGGCTGGCGTTGCCAGTCGGCACGGAGTCATTCACCCACCCGCCCCCCCTCCAACGCCAATTCCATGAAACCTCCTGTTTTGAGATCATGATTGCCGTCTCATTTTTAAATCCTTTATATTAAGTTCGCTTGCGTGCTTGCTTGCTTGCTTGCGTGCTTGCTTGCTTGCTTACGACCGTGCAAATCTTTCGGTCGTTTTTTAACCCACTTCCCGTGATCCAATCGAGCTGACATTTTCCACACAGACTCGTTGTGTGTGACAATTAATTTTCGTGAAAAAAAATTCCAAAATTTTACACTGTTTAGGGAAAACAAATTAAATATTTAATTACCAATTGCTTAATGGTGGCAGACAATCATCTGACCCATAGGTGGCAGCCATCTCAAGCCAGAGGACGTGAGGACTCTAGCCGCCACGCATATAAAGGATTTATAGTGAAAAACTTTGTTTTTACGGGTTTACTTGTTACCATCCCGATTTGTCTCTTTTAATAAGTTTAGTTTTGATACATCAGGCTAAAGGTGGCCATTCGCATACTGCTGGCGTATAATTTGCATGCCTTTCAAATAATCGATTCTCGCAATTGGATGCAAATGTCGTGAGCGGAAGAATCGTTTCTCACCATTGAATCTTTCTTTGCTTGCATGTATAATCTCTCAGCACCTGACCTGACCCTTCTGTGTCTCCTCAACCCAGTGCCCATGCTTACACATGACACCAGATACTCATTTTAATGCCACATTGACCTAGGGGAGGTCCAGGAAAGGTATCACTTGTGACCTGCCAAAGTTGTGCATGGCTACGAACTAAATTAAGTGAACAAGATTGTGGTTCAGTGTGACCATCACTGGGACGCCGAAGTCTGTGTGTGTGTGTGTGCCATACAAGACAAAGATCCCCCATATAGCATTAACAGACTGTTGGGACAAGTGCTATTGAAGTCGGTACGGCACAAAGGGGTGTGAGAGGCTAGCACCATGCCTGGCCGCCTTTGTCTCCCCAATGCTGGTGCTTACACACTGCACCAGTTACTCATGTAAGGCTAAGTTGACCTCGGGGTGGTCCAAACCAGTTTAAATACAACTTACAATGGGTGTTGTTAATGGCAAGTGATGTTCAGATATTCATTTTAGATTTGAAGCTTTCGTGACTGCAAGGATTCATACTCCTAGGTTTTTTCGGTAAAGTCACGTAAGTAAAAAATAAATAATACAAATAAATAATAATAAAAAGATATTCATGATGTTCAGATATTCGCCAACAATGTTGCATTAATGCACAGACACACACATGCTGAGGCAAGTCTGTTTACAGCATGACGACTGTTGACTTCCAACGAAACGGTATAACTTGTATCCACTCTTCAGGGACGATAGGCCGAATAAACCCAGGATTTAAACTCGAGTCAAGCTCGCTTACCGCAGCAGCACCACCACCCAGCTGCTGGACTAACGTAGGCCACCCATCAGCAGCTCTCGGCGAGAGCGTGATGAGCCTTGTTCACTTGACGCACATCGCATGCCCACCCCCCAGGTTTTTTTTCCACCCTCCCCAAAAACAAAATCACTACTGAACAGCAAGACGCTCAGGCCAGGGCTTTGCGTATTTATCCTCCGAAATGGCTCCCTTAGGTCACGAATTTTTACACCTTTGAACCGGCTGACCTGGTTGATTTCGTCAACTTCCTTCAAGTTCAGCCCGAGCCCCCCCCCCCCCCCACAATGTGCTATCAATTATATCCTCGAGGGTCACACGGAGGACGCCTCGTAGCTACTCCAGCGGAGGCCGTGAGCTCTCGTGGTGTTGGGGTGCTGTGTTCGGCAGGAACGTTTTGGTTTATGCTCCATGATAGGGTGGTGGTGGGGGGGGGGTGTAACGTTTTGTAATTGTTATTTATATCATGAACGATAGGTTTAATTCGGAAAATACGGAATTGAGTGAAATCTGTGCGTGCTTTAAATTACTTGTTTGTGTGTGTATAAGGTGCTCAGGCACTTTTCCCAACAGTCTGTTAAGGCGATAGGGGGGGTCTTTTTTGTTGTGTGTATAATATGTTGTTGGCGCTGAGTTGTCGACTCCATATTCCCTTGGTGGTGACTCGTCTCACCATAGGATGACCACAGTTGTCTTACAATGAAGCGGTACTACATTATGATACAGATATAATGTATCTGTTTCTAAAACATACATACATTTGCAAACATGTGTATGTACCTCTGTGTGTCTATGTTGTGTGTCTCTCTCTGTATGTCTGTTTTTTGTCTCTCTCTCAAATGTAGTTCTACCTGATGACGATTGCTTGTGTTGCAATCGAAACGTCGTATTCTAATATTTAATTTATTTTCCTTCTACCTGACTTTACCGAGTAATTCCTGCAGTCACGAAAGCTTCAAATACAGTTTATGTGTATGTACATTGTCTACAAATGTAATTAATTGAACAGTCAATTGTAAAACATATATACCTATACTGTCAAAAGTATCTTTTGGAAAATTAACAAATGCTAAATGTGTCACTTTGCAAAGTGTGTACAGATATCGTGTATGTTACATATGACTAGCATCCCCATTGTATCCACACCTATTGATTGTACATGTTTTGTTATTGAGCACTTATGAAGACCAGCATTGTATATGAAGGCGTGATGTGGCCAGAACCACACCCAGCAAATCTTTGTCTCCGCAACGATGTCATTGACCATCCCTTTGCATCAGCTACACTTTATCCAAGGCTGAGTCGACTTAATGAAGCCACAGGCCAGGTTTAGATACCATTTACCACTGGCTGTGATTTGAGGCTAGGAATCAAAGCGAGGTCACAGCAGATTATAGCACGATGCAATAACCACTGCACCACCACTCATGTAGACAAAGATCTCCCCATACAGCCTTTCCAGATCAGATCATTGCCACTGGTGTAGCCCGTGAGCGAGAATCGAACTCGGGATGCTGCGTTCGTAGGGCAGCACGCTAACCCCACCACTACTGCTCCCCACATATATATATAGACACATTCACACACATCTATAGACTTATTTATACACAAATAACCATATACGCTTGTGTAAGTGTGTACACATGTTTAAAATGATTAACTTTGCACTCCTATACAGTGACTAGAATCTATACTTAGTACCCCTCATCTTTCCACAACATCATCATAATCACCCCCACTAAGTCTATACTCTGTAAAATACATCAACACTGCTCCATTTCAATAAACGTATGTATCCCGTGTAAATATTGTAAGTAAAGCGTCTACTTTAAATTCAATTGTGTCTAACAAAACATTTGACTTCCTTAAAATCTCAACATTGCTCTGTTTTTTCGTACCGAAAAGAATTCCACCTCATTCTGTAAAAATGTTTCACACTTAGAGTTATATTATTGTTGTTGTCCCCACGTTTCATTCACATTTTGCTGGAAGCCAAGCTTAACATACAAATGTTCTTGTTTAAAAATAAATAGAGTAACGGTCCGGAGAGCGTGATAAGATTCTGGCATAGGCACTGACATACCAGCATTGCAAGGCAGCTGAAAAGTAAAAAAAAAACTCTGACCCAGACACAACTTCACTAATTGAATGATTTTTTTTATACTTGACTAAACAAGCAAATGCACATTCCATTCATTGGGATCCTTATTTAGCTTTTAACATTTCTCACCGCTCTGCCAAATTGTGTGGAAATAAAACCTTCTACATTTGTGCAGTTCTTTATTTACCCAAGAAAGCCTCAACATTGACCTGCCTTGGGATGCTTCACCGGCTCCTTACTGGGTATTTGTTTTGCTCTCGGCTTTGTAACGCTACTTCCCCTTCCCTTCCTGCCACAGTTTAATGAGAACATGTATTGCCCAATCGGTTTTATATGTGCCAAAATTAAACCTGAAATAAACTACACCTCAATAACCTCAAATCTCGACGAACTAATGATTCGGGATTC